TCAGCTCCACTTACCTGCCCACTCACCATAACCCTTGATTCCTTTACTGTTCAAAAACTTATTTAGCCTTGCCTTAAAAACATTCAGCGAGGTAGCTTCAACCGCTTCACTGGGCAGCAATTCCACAGATTCACAATCCTTTGGGTGAAGAAGTTCCTCCTGACCTCAGTCCTACAGTCCTTTATTTTGAGGCGATGCCCTCTAATCCTAGTTTCACCTGCTAGCGGAAACAACCTCCCTGCCTCCACCTTATCTATTCCCTTCAGAATCTTATATGTTTCTATAAGATCTCCCCTCATTTTTCTGAATTCCAATGAGTATAATCCCAGTCTACTCAGTGTCTCCTCATAATCCAGCCCTCTCAACTCTGGAATCAACCAAGTGAATCTCCTCCGCACCCCCTCCAGTGCTAGTATATCTCTTCTCAAGTAAGGAGACCAAAACTGCGCACAGCACTCCAGGTGCGGCCTCACCAGGACCCTATTCTTGCACATAATTGTCCAAAATGTGACAGTAGGCAATGGTTCATCCACTGGTACATACAGAAGATTAAACCGTATTAAACTGTTCAGTAGCACAAAATAGATCTAGTAGAGATTTTCTAAAAATGTTTGCTTTTTACCACTGTGAAAATAGCTAAGATAGTCTGATATTTCAAACAATGCCCTTAAAATGGAAAGATATGTCTTCAAACCACAATAATACCATCTGAACTACCACAACAAGAATGGGAACAGTTATATCAGGGGCTCTTACTGAATTAATTTACTCCGAGTCAAAACAATTCTGTAGAGTGAAAACTTTCCATTGTAAATTGTTATGAAAAAAAAATCAAATTTGTTTGATTAAAATCATTTGCTGGAAAACAATTTTTCAACAACCAATATATGCTTAAAATAATTGCATAGATATACAAAATGAACTACGTAGACTGGAGCAGCTAAATTTCTTTGAGTTAACAGCTCATATACGTGGATTCTGAACAGCTGATATGTTCAACATAACTAAAATAACTCTTGAGAACTACTAATACATCTCTTAGAAATATCCCAAAATTATTTTTTTTACAAATAACACTTTAGTCCAATTGCAATTATGATTGTAAAATGGGCCAAATGTCACTTTGCACACAGAACAATTACACTTACAGAAAAGAGATAAATGCTCAATTAAACAAATGTGATGCTACTAGAAAAATGTACATTGTCAGGCACATTGGCAGCTAACTCTCCATTTTATTACTTTATTTTTGTACCTGTTAATCCTTAAGTTTGAGGAAGAAATCAGTGTACATGCAATTGTCTGCTAAATACTCTAATAAAATATGAAATACATAACCAATGAGGGCTCATCTCCAAATTTCAATGTTTCTTCCCCACCATTTCGGAACATAAAAAATAGATGCCCATCAGCGATTCTTCTTGCTCAGCTACAATGATCTATCTGATGTATATGTAATAGAGTCCTTTGTTGTGACCATATTCAGCAATACATGTAGAATTGCTTTTGTTTAAATTAAACAATGTTTAGCTTTAAAGCAAATCATAAAAAAGACTTTATGACATTGCTTTGGTGTTTTGCTAGATGCAATTAACTCCTCACCTAAAGTTCCGCTTCTTGAAAATTTATACAGTACTAAATCCAAGTCTGTTCAATGTTGAATAATAAAACCTAGATATTTACCTCCCTAAGACTATACAGTTTAACAAACCTAAGCAAAGATCTACTAAATGTGCTAGTAACCAAGAACTGATTCATAATAACAACCTATACTGGCTCTCTTGCCAAAAAGAATCCTGATAAGTAGCAGCCCTTTGTGGCCAGATCACTCAATTCACAATTCAACTATCACAACAAATTACTTAATCAAAGTCAACTTGTTTTATCCTTAAAAAGGTCACACAGAACAAGGAGCAGGAAATGTAAACACTACAAACACACTAGAAAAATCAAGCTACTCATGATTCAAATCTGTAATGCTCAAGTAATCTTTGAAAAATAAAGATACTGAAAGGGTGTGTTATTGATGTTGCTACGTTTCCTTATCTATGTGAAAACCATAGTCAAAGCATTATACCTACAAGTTGCATCTTGTAAAGTTAATTTTCTTTCAGGCATCTAATAAATCATTTTGCTTGTTTTGCTCTTCTATCAAAAATGGTAAAATTCGTCTTATTTAACAGCCATGCAGAAATAACACCACTGCCAAAGGATATTAGAGAATATGTTGATATCATTGTTATTGATGAATATGTATAATTGAAACAATTATACATATTGAAACAAGGCTCATCAATGTATGCTTTAGTGAGAAAGTGTTGCACAGCCTATCAAAGTGTAGCAAATAGATAGCAATCAGCAGACATGAGGGGAACCTCCAAGTCATGAACGAATTGATGAATCTAAAGATATTCAGCAGATCTTCATTTTGGTTTATTTATATGTGTGAAGCCATTTTTGTTTAAAATATGCTATATTTAGCTTTAAAGGAAACTATTGCAAGTGCTTTCTCTCCAGTTTGGAATGAATTGTTCGGAAATGCCAGTTACCTGGAAATGTTTTGAGCAATACATCAACATTAGCGGCATTTTATTACAGTGCTTTGGGAGTGGTAACATTGAAGATACAGTATTTGGATAATTAACACAACTTTTATTATGGCTTCATTTTATTTTATCGTTGTTCTATGCTTCAGGTAAAATTTAAATCTACAGTTTATTCTTGTTCGCACTTGTTGTTGGGCTTTTTACCATCATTCTATAATCCAGTAAATTCCAAACTCCAGAAATGATGTGGCCTCAAGCATTCTGGACTGCAGAAGTTGTAATATATTACACATTATGGCACGTGAATTGGTTCTGGTGCTCATCTAGACGCAATTAATTTCTATCTCAAAGTTTCCCTTCTTGAAGGTGAAAAAATACTAAATTCAAACTCAAACAATTGAGTTATGAAGTCAAAATATTTAACTCTACAAATCAAATGGAACAAAATTAAACCAGTCCAAACCAGATAAGTTCATTGTCAACTGGAAAAAAACTACTGATGATTCCTTTCTTTTGTATATTAGCATGATGCTATTGCTATAAATTTCCTACATACTGTGGGTTAACAGCAGCAAGAAAATAGTTTGTCACGCACGTACAATTCCATATAAATTAATTACGTAATCAATGTTAAATAATGTTGTTAGTTGGAGAGGTTATTAAAACAAATTAGAATTTATTTTCCTTAATCATTAAACTACATGAGACTGACAGATATTTCTATTTCAAGTCTACACGAGGGAATATAAAAATCATATTGAATAAAGATGAAGAAAGTCAACTTTATTTAGAATTGGTCAATATAGTTTCACCTTTTTAACAACATAACTGCCCTTTAAATGGTAAAGCAAGTAGCATTAACACTATATTAAGGTTAACAATTTGAACCATTATGGGACTTGAGCTGTTCATTCTCTGCAACAAATTTAATCTTTTAATTTATGTAATTAAAGGCATCAAAGGTTTAAACCTCCAGCACCTTTGTGTAACATTTGTGGCATCCCACCATTTCCCTTGACATAAACAACACTAATTGTCCTGGTGTAACACACTCATTTCCCCGCCAGGTGATTTCAAGCTTCTTGATATAATGTCACTGTTATTAAGTATATGTTTCTACTGCAGCAAATCCACCATATTTCTATTGTGAGATTATATATTTTAGTATCATACTTTCCAACCCAAGATTTCCAAAGGAAATGAATGAAGGTATTTACTTAGGAATAAGTGGCTGAACAATTTCAGCAAAATAGGGACAGATGGAAAGACCAAGAAAAGAAATTGTAAGACATTTCTGCTTAAGTTTTAAACTTTTATACAGTAACTAATTAATTGCACAAAACAAAGGGAAGCTATCCATGTACTTTAAATATTCATCATAATGCTGCATTTCAAATTTTGTAACTGTGGTTTGAAAGCTTGGTATCATTTATTCTTGTTTGCAGATACAAGTAACTTGGTGGTGAATATAAATAAACTGACAAATAAATGAAGTTGAAATTCCTGCAGAAATCAACAAGCAAAACGCACTTAGAACTATCCAATGACCATACCAATATCCTCCCCCACTTCTTTATTAAGAATGGCAAAGTGAGGAAGAAAGTGATACTATTGTCAAGAGGGATTAGTCTGATCTTCTTGGGTTTATATATTTTTGGATATTCTAGAGAGATACTATAGTTCATTTGTACCAGCTGTGTTGTAGCCTCTGGTCTATTTTAAATTTAAGCTGGATCAGTTAAAGGTTAATGGTTATTGGGACATCTCCCGAACACTTTTTTTTGAAATATTGCCCGTTTGTTTCCCCTTTCTTTTAGAAGTAATATCTTTCCAATTCCCTTTTGACCTCTGTTGCACTAATGAAATATATTTACCAACATAAAAATTCGATATTGCACGTCTGTCTCTTCGAGCCTTAGTCCAGGTATTCAGTTCTCTCATATTTTGTTGTCTGCATTCAATCAACATTACCTTACTGTGGTTATCACTATGCAATGCTGTAAGATGTTTGGAGTCAATGACTTGAAATAGATCCATGTTCTAAACAGAAAGCAGTCAAAAATTATTTTCTATATTATTTTTCCTTCATTCATGCGATATGGGTGTCATTGGCTGGGCCAGTGTTTATTGCCCGGGCCAGTGTTTATTGCCCATCTCGTGTTGCCCTTGATAAGGTGATTTTCAAAGTGATTATCCATCAGAGAGAAGTAGTATCTAATTTCCTGGATGCAATGAAAAAAGCCATCCATTCACAACATTGTGGGTAAAAATATTTATGAAAAAAAATTGTGACATATTTTTGATTATTGAGAATGGGATCTGCAAATAAACATTAAACTTAAATTTATCAATGATTTTTTTTTTTGCAGAAGACCAACTTTTAGAATTTGCCAAATATAATTCAGGGTGGATCCCTAAATACACGTGTTTAATTTTGATGTTACATTCTTTTACCTTTCACTGGAAATTTTTGTTGATGGGCTGGTAACTCCCTCACTGGCACGGTTTGAACTTTGGAAGCTTTTCTTGAAATTCATTGAACCTTTTCTACGGAAACAGAGCAGTTGTTGATAATGTTACGATATCAAATAAAATCCTTTCCCCAATGGTGTAGGCTCAGTGCCAGATTACAGTTGAACAGTCAACCAACAAGCAAACTTTATTTTATACAACAGACTACAAGTCATAAAAATAGAGGCAGTAACAAAACATGTTGAAGCAGCAGTGGATATTTCCATGGGAACATGAACTGTAAATGCAACACTAATTGTAAACAGTTCAGAATGTCGGTTGGAAATCAGATAGTTTCCATGTAAAGTGGGAAAGTTAGAGGCAGAATGATCACTAAATTTCAATAGCAATATTCTTCCTAATGTAAAGACAACAGTGGTTCTGAAAGACCACATCCTGAACAATTTGATTTAGGATGGTTAAATAATAATTTATACTCAAATCACTCAGTTTACTTTTTATAAGGGTGCATATGCACAAGGAGGTTTTGTATATCATCATCTCTGGTTAGGTTTTGGTAAAATTTGCAAGACTGGATGAGAGAAATAGCATTTTTATATTTGAGACAGTCAAGTTGACTGACAGCAGCAGAAAAGTCTATATACATTTCAGTCTTGGATTACCTATAATGATAAATATTTCACCACGCATTCTTAAAAATTCTTGTATTGCCTTGCAGTACAAATTTATCTATAGTGGAGGTTAGGGAAATACCAGCTTGAATGTCTTCCAAATACCAGATTGAAAATACACTTACAGCATCTGTTGTTGATGGGCATGAATGCCTGTATGTGTCATGGAATAATTTTAATAGAGGGATCAGTGATTCAGGATCCAGAACTCACCAGTTAGCACCACCTTCATCCTTTGATAACAATATAGCATTGAAACACATGTAAACCTGAATGTATAGAGAAAATTTGCTTTCAATTGTGTAAAGTTCCTTCCATATCTTTTAAATGGGAACTAAAATAAAAATGGAAGATCCATTTTCAAAGCCATCCAAAACCAAAAAAAACCCCAAGGTTTAGAGAAGAGCGGATAGCATTTAATCACTTTAACAACTTCATGCAACTTCATCATACGAAATGTCTCAAAGCAGTGTAAGAAACAAAGGGGTTGCTAACTCATGGCAGACATATTAAGAGATGACTAAAACCACAGCTTCAGAACATCTTTATGGGTACACAGATACTTACAAAAGCAGAGATGTTCAGAGAAGTAATTCTAGAGAACCAAGCTAACGTAATAAACTTATTGCTCTAATGGTGAGGTGCCGATGGAGGATAAACACATGAGATTGAAATGAGGTGAATCTTGAAATTGATGGAAGGCTGGAACAGATATGAAGGGCAAGGATCGTTGTGCACAACAATACAGATCATCTAGTAATCAGGATTGTGGAAATATGTATGGAAACTTTGAGTGGGGTTGTGCAATACACCAAATGTAAAAATAAATAGTTTCTTTATGATCTCATGTTCATGAAAGCAAAGTGTGTAAAGTATCATTCTAAATATTTGCTACAAGGCAATTTTAAAAAGCTGGAATAGACACCTGTATCCAAACTAATGAGTAAGCTATATATTTATACACAGAAGTATGAACCTTCATACATAAAATCTGAAACGCCTTCTCTGACAATGCAGCACAAAAGTGAAGTATTTAGTGTACAGCTACAAACAAACATGACTCACCTTTTGAACTGATTTCTTCAGATATGTTAGCAATCCTCGAGTATAATTTTAATTCCTTTATCTTTACAGCTTTAATTTTTTCAGAACTAAAAGTTATTTCTAAAATGTTAACTTGAAACATGAGCAAAATATTTGCATCCATAGGTTTAGCCTCAACTTATAATTCAAGCTAGGCCATTCAAGGGTGAAATAAGAAAGCATTTTTTCACATGAAGGATAACAGCAATCTTAAACGTTTGTGTCCCATAGATTGGGGATGTTGAATAAATCAAAATTTTCAAGAGCAGGACCAACAGATTTTTCTTATAAAGGATTTCAATGGATGTGACATAAGCAGATCATATGAAGGAGAGTGTAAAAATCAACCATGAAATAAGTGGATGTCAGAATGGGCCAGAAGAGTGGCCTTCTCATGTTTCTAAGCTTCTATTGGAAATTATAAGGATTAAAAAGAACAGTACTGGTAAGAGACATGACATTTAGCAAAACTACAAGAGCTGTGAATTCAAAAATAAGTATTACTATATCAAAAGCACTTCTAAATGATCATAATCACCCTGGAAGCTGGTTTGCAAAAACTTTGAGTTACAGATCTTTACAGATGTTAGCCCTGAACGATTCATTTTCAAACTAATAAAGCTGCTTCTTTAAAGCAAAGGAGAAGTATCATTTTGAACTACTGGTCACCAGCAATGCCCTGTCCAAAACCCAAAATCATCTTGCATGCTGCTGAAGAAATCAGCCTCTGTTCTCTTAATCAATCTTGAGGAAGACAGCATCACCAAAGAAACACTTTCCTCAAAATGTTTAGAAAAACACACATTTGCAAACCAAACCAGGCTAAACACCCTGAATGGTGCATCAACCTTTACCCTCTCACAAGCAAATAGTTTCAACTAAATTTAGTTGATATGTTCTGATGTCCCTTCTTTCCTTTTTTGTTTCATCCACTGACTCAACCTGCTCTTGGCTCTTTACATAGTTTTATTTAAACTACTAATGAAATTGATGACATCACAACTCTGCGCAATGGAGTTTATCCTTTTCGTCTGTTCTCAAACTTAATCTTGTATAAATGGATCCTTGTTTGTGAGCTCTCAACTGCTGAAAAGTCTTTTTAATTCATCCCATGTCATTCTTTCATACTGCCATTTACTTCTGTAACTTCCATTGACCCAATTTCTCAAATCCCATTTTTATATTTGTATGGTTTTCCACACTGAAGAGCATTCTTGCAAAACTACGCTACAACCTCTTAAAACCTTCACTTCCTTTTTCTAGTATTGAAATTCAATGTGACACAAGTTTTCAAAAGTTTTATAACATAATCACCATCTCCTTACATCTTCAGATGCTCCTAGTTCATATTCTTCAAAAGAACAAAGTGAACAACATATCTCATTTGTATCGTAAATTGCCTATGTTTCAAATCTCCACAGGTCAGAACGGAGATTAACATTTCAGCTTTTTCTATTTATTCAGAAAGTATAATCTTCATTTGATTAAATTCATGATCACAGATGGTGATTGGTGATGCATTAGAAATGCGACCAATTTGCCCAAGCAAATTTAAACCTGTTTATAATGCAGAAACTATTTTTCACATTCAATCTTGGAAATGTGCATGCACTTAAAGGAGAATCGTTCATTGTTACAATTCTTCAGATGACCTCTGTCAATCATAGAATAGAATCATAGAATCACTAATGTGTAAGCAGGCCATTCAGCCATTGAGTCCATACTGATCCTCTAAACAGAAACTCACCCAGATCCGCCACCCTATCCTATATCTGTTAGGCCGCATTTCCCATGGCCAATCCACCTAACCTGCACATCTTTGGACTGTGGGAGGAAATCGGAGCACCCGGAGGAAACTCATGCAGACACAGGGAGAATGTGCAAACTCCACATAGACAGTTGTCCAAACTCCCCTCCCCCTCACTTCCCACACATTGGTTCAAATCATATCTGAATTTCCCACCAGTAGATGTCACAGCATATAGTATTCTGATCAATAGAATCCCGACAGTGGGAAACAGGTCGTTTGGCCCAACAAGTCACACTGACCTTCCAAAAGGCATCCTGCCCATACCCATCCCTCTACTTTATCCCTGTAACCCTGCATTTCCCATAGCTAACACATCTAACCTACACATCCCTGAACAGTACAGACAATTTAGCATGGCCAATCCACCAAACTTGCAAATCTTTGGGAGGAAACTGGAGCACCCGGAGGAAACTCACACAGACATGGGGAGAATGTGCAAACTCCACACAAACACTTGCCGAACTCCCCTCCCTCATTTCCCAAGCAACGGTTCAAATCAAGTCTGAATTTCCCACCGGTAGACCTCATAGCATACAGTATGCATGTATATGCATTTACCAGCAGGATCAATGTGTAACAACTTAGGAGTGTTTTCCCTATCTAGCCATGGGGCATTGAGGCCTCAACTAGTGCCACTGACTGGGCACGTTGCAGATAAAATAAAATTTTAAATTTAATAAAATTTCACCAAAAGGCAGCGAAGGTGAGGATAAATCCTTTCTGCCCATTTGATTTTGAAATGATTATAAGAGATGTTGATTACACAGATTAATTTCAAGCCAATTTCAAAGGGATCAAGTATAGTCTGGTTGTTAAAAGCACAATGTCATATCAAATTGAGTTAAACACAAGTCACAGCTTGGATCCCAATTTGCTCCAGTTCATTTCAGTCCCCCCTGTTCTCGCCACTGACAAAACACATGTTGCAGCTCTCCAACCTGAGAATGCATATGTTTTGATGGTGATGGGGACTTAACTGAATGTTCCTTTGGACAAATCTTCTACTACAAAGGCCACCAAGTTAAGGTGCTACTGAATGGCAGCTAATTGATACTCTGGAAAAGCAACCCAATTAAAGTTAGCGTGTTTTCAGGAAATTGGAGAGGAGGGAATGTAACTTCAGAATCCTTGTTACGTTCCCAGAGGTTGTGATGTGGTGCAGTAACATGCATATGGGCATACAACTGCATGGCATATAACGGACATTACATATTGTCCTGGATAAATATCAAGTAGTAATGCTAGAGAGAGCATTCATTATTTCCTGTTGCAAGGTCACTGCATTGGTAAGTTTCCATAAAGTGGAATATGATGACATAATATAGTATATAATAAATCCTTTACAACAATCCAAATTACCCTGTTTTGAGCGAAAATATTTATTTGTAAGCTATTTTTTCTGGATTAGTTTCAAGTAAGCTTCCTATTTATTCCAAAAGAAACAGTAGGTCTTTCCTGCTAATTTGACACCAGATCAAAGTATAAAAACTGTCAGCTGTAATTACTGTGTTATCAACCATGCACATTAGTTCTGCAATAAATTATAAAATGGTCCCTGGGTACAATATTTACTCAAAACATAACTAATCTGATAAATCGACACAAGATTACCTGGGCAATTATTTTACACTGAGCTATCACCTCCACAAATGTATATTTTACGAACTGAGTATTAATCCGATATAATATTCAGCCCTTTTCTTGTGTCAAACTAACCCACTTCGCTTCAATGTAATAAAACAAAGAACTGCGGATTTTGGAGATCTGAAACAAAAACAAACTGCTGGAGAAACTCAGCAGATCTGGCAGCATCTGTGGAAAGAAAGCAGTCTTTGAGTTCAGTGACTTCTCACATCAGTTTGCCTCAACTTATTCAACCAAGCTTCAAGCAGGCTTGTGATTGATCTTAATCTGATTACCATTTCTTTTCTACTAATGTCTGGCAGAACATCACGTTTCTTTACGCTAGGAATGCAAAACCAATTTCACAAAGAACCACATCTAAAAAAAACTCGTCAACCAGTAAAACAACAAAATACCATGCGACTCTGATTCACAGACAAGTGGAAGTCAGAAAAGAACATGATAGATATCAGCTGTGACACAATCATCCTATGAGATTACATAAATTTGTGTTCCATCAAGTTTAAAAGGTTGGGATGTGACCTAATCAACGTGTATAAATGATAGAAGGATTAGATTGAGTAGATACAGAGAAACTACTTTCTCTGATGCAGTAATTCAGAAAAAGCAAACATAACCTTCCAATTAGAGGTAGATTATTTAGGGGTGAAATCTGTTGAGACTTTCATTATTTTTACTTCTAACGTTTTTTGGTTTGGAGCTGTTAAGTGTGAGCTAAGAGCTGAAGGGGATCTTTGAGTTTCGAGCAGCAGTTTGTTTAAAAAAAAACAAACAAATCGATAAAAACTGACAGAACACAGATGCTGTATATCAGGAATGAAAACAGAAGTTGCTGGAAAAGCTCAGCAGGTCTGGCAGCATCTGTGAAGAAAAAGTCAGAGTAAACATTAACACAAACAAACTTATACCTGTCTATGATGTCAGACCTGGAAGTTAGTTATAGATTGTTCAAAGTACTCTGTCGACATTTCAAATCTGGAGAGGTATTATGTTCAAACAGATGAAGATGTTTGAATGTTGACAGGGGCCTCACAGGGACGTTGGTGCCAACAGAATGTTGAGAAAAGGAGAAACCAAAGTTTGAATTGTGTTTTTGTCAAATGGATTGTGATTACCAAAGCTTCAGGTCAGAGTTTGATTGTTCCCTGGCTATCCTCTCATTATCAACTTATTGAAATTTTTTAATCATAAATATAATTAGATTATCTTGTTAACTTTGCTTAGCTAAAGCTACTATATTAACATTAAATAGTTAATTTTTTGCTTTAAGCTATAAACCTGATGCCTAGTATTGATTATTCACAAAGTCTGATACTAGTTATTCAAAAGCCTGGTTAGAAACCACTGGGATCAATTTTTAAGGTCTTTGAATGTTTTAATTTTACTGATTTGATTTGGCTGTCTGTTTTCGTGTGGTAACAATCAAGGAATTTCTTCCACACGAAAGGTAGCTGAAATCTGGAATTTTCGTGCTAAGTAGTAATGGGGATGCCTGAGCCATTTCTTCAAGATTAAGGTGATCAAATGTTTGTTAGACAAAGTTATCAAGAGATATAGATTAAAGGCAAGTAAATAGAAGTGCAGCTGTTATCTAATAGAATGGAAGAACAGACTCGATGGGCTGAATATCTCACGCCTTTTTGTCTTTAAAGATAAACAGTTTATCATTTCGAAAGGGGAGGTGTTGGAGTGGGGCCATCTGTCATTGAATGAGGTGGCCTGCTGCCATGAGGGGTGACAAATTACATCTGCATTTTTTGGGGAGGTGCATCTGTCATGGGGAAGGTGCAGCAGGAGAAGAGGAAGGAGGCTGCAAGTGCGTGGGAGCAAACAGACGTTGCAAGGGGGTTGGGGGAGTCAGATGCTGCAAGGGGATGGGGGGGAAAGACGGAGGCTGAAGAGGTGTGGGGGGTGAAGACACAGCCTGTAAAGAGATGGGGTAGATGGAGGCTGCAAGCTGATTGGGGGGGGGGTGGGGGGGGGAGATGGAGGCTGCAATCTGCAAGAGGGATTATGGGGGAAGAAGGCTGGAAAGTGGGCTTGGAGGGAGAAATAGTTGTAAAGTGGAGTGGAAGGAGGGGGGTGGAGACAGAGGGAGACTGCAAGGGGATGGGGAAGAAAGATGCTGCCAAGGGGCTGTAATAAGTAACAGAAAGGCTGCACGGAAGAGGTCATGGTGGTGGTGGGGTGGGGGCAGAGGGACTGATGCATGAAGGCGGCTGTGGGGAGGCACAGGGAGGCTGCAAGGAGGCAGCTCAACTGGGTGCAGTAGGAAACTGCAATGGGATGCAGAGGGAGTGCTGCAACAGAGCAGGGGAGGGGAATATTTGAAGGGAGGCTGCAAGGCCAGAGAAAGGGAACAGTTAAGGAGAAAAAAAAATATCAAATGTCTTAAATCTGTCAACAAATGAACACTCAGCTAATTAAGAATACAGAAAACTTGAAAGTGTTGACGTAATTACTTCCTTGCAATATAGAATCTCTACTTTCAAGATGCATACACTCAACAGCTAATATATAGGTGAAATGCAATGGATGCTATTATAATGAACATGCATTATTCAACAGTTAAATTTAAATCTGAGATTGAGATGAGCTGCAGTAAAAGGGGTAATAACTGCCACCTTAAAATATTCCAGTTTGTGTATCTACAATGGAAAGCATTAGGCAGTCACGGTTGTGTGCATTTGGAAGTATGTCAGTTATTTTGGGAAAAAAAAGTTGTTGTTAATTTATGCCTGTTGATTTGTGCCAAACTGAGCTCTGTAGTATCCAGAAAATTGATGCTTTCCTAATGTGTTGGAGCTCTTCATTAAATGGAGATCAATTGTTATTGAGGATACTCATGAATTCCTTGTGGGTCCAAATACGCAATGTATATACAATCACAGATGATATTGTTAGCACGTCACTGGATCACTTAATGTGTGAGTGTCATGAAGATCTTTCATTTTTTTGTCTGAGGATTTAAGTCATTAAGCTGTACAGCATGGAAACCGACCCTTCGGTGCAACTTGTCATGCTGACTAGATATCCTAAATTAGTCCCACTTGCCAGCATTTTGTCCATATCTCTCTAAACCCTTCATAATCATGGACCCATCCAGATGCCTTTTAAATGTTGTAATTGTACCAGCCTCCACCACTTTCCCTGGCAGCTCATTCCATACATTCACCACCCTCTGCGTGAAAAAGTTGCCCCTTAGGTCCCTTTTAAATCTTTCCCCTCTTACCCTAAACCTATGCCCTCTAGTTTTAGACGCCCCCACTCCAGGGTTGAGACTTTGGCTATTCACCCGATCCATGTCCCCCATGACTTTACAAATCTCTACAAGGTCACCTGTCAGGCCCTGATGCTCCAGGGAAAATATCCCCAGCTTATTCAGCCTCTCCCTATAGCTCAAAGCCTCCAACCCTGGCAACATCCTTGGAGATCTTTTCTGAACCTTTTCTGTACGTCCTTCCTGTAACAGGGAGATGAGAACTGAATGCAGTATTCCAGAAGTGGCCTAACCAATGTCCTGTACAGTTGCAACATGACCTCCCAACTCCTATACTCAATGCACTGAGCAGGTCTAGCAAATCTCCCCGCCAGTACATCAGCCTCCTTACAATTCAGCTGCAATCTTCAGATTACTAAAGCTTTATGGGCTTTTTCTGTCTTTACAAATACTGCCTAATCCAAAGATTACTTTCAAAATTCTTTCATTTTCATTTGACAAAAAGTTACTGTTAAGTAGAAGTCTTCCATTTTCTGATTTCCAGCTACAATATGGTCTCTGCCTGTCATTACAGGACACACATTAGTTTGTCAACTTCTTATTGTATTTGCAAAAGCTTTTAGTGTTGTCTTTGATATCTCTTGCAATCTATATAAAAAAGAAACGAGATCCTTGAATGGGGAAAAGCTTATGTGGATGAAGTCATGCATTAATGCATCTTTATGTAATGCTCCAAATTTAAACCATTCCCAACGGAAAAAAAGGAACTTGCTTCCCTGCTACATCATCTTTTTTCTGTAACTTGTGGCTTATATTCAAATTAAAAATACCAAAGGGTTCAAGTGTGGAATGCCCAAGAGTACATATGGTTTTAACACAACAGTGCCAAGCATATTTAGAAATTGAAGCAAATTGTAGGCAAAGTTTCTAAAACAAAATGTCTATAAATTACTACATAAGTAGAAGATATGTAATTGTAAATGTAAGTGAAATTGTAAAAATGCCACATGCTTATCCAGTTCTAACCAACAAAGACATGCAAGAATGATGAATTTTCTGTGCACTAAACCTGCAGTGAACATGCTTATCCACTAACAACTTACTGTTCCAGAAGTTGGTCACATTTTGCTTGCGCATCCTTTTCTGCTTCAACAGCTCGGTCCTTTTCTGCAACTGCATTGTCTCTTGCTTCCCTTAAATTCCTGAAATTGGATAAATTAGAAAAAAGCCTTCAGTGATTATAGAGAAATATGGAAATTCATCCTGTGTGTAGATTTACTTCCTATCAACAAATAGGTTGTCCTACTTTTCTACATAAAATATAAAGATTTTCAATCTTTTATGATACCAAACTTAATGCAGCAATGGCTTACACAGTAAGTCCTAAAATAATATTGAGTTATTGATAAAAAAGGGCTAATATTATTCAAAATGCTTCCTTGCTATTTTACTAGCATTATGAATGAGGACATTTGACACACTATGAATATTAAGTTGGTTTGTTAAAGGTTGTAGACAAATTAGCAGAGAAACTTGAACTGGAAAGTAACAGTCTCATCTAGTTCCACAGCGAAAAGAAAATTAAATTTATACATAAACACCAAATAGTCTGGAAGTGTTAGACACACAAAAAAACTGCATATGTTTATTTTTCCTGTTTCCACTATTCAACCCCAGACCGTCAAGATTGGTAACTAAAATGAAAAGCAAAACATTGCTGATACAGACAAATAAAATACATTTTGACAAAGTGTATCGATTACATTCTAACTTTCCCCAGGTTAAATAAAAGGTCACAGATCTGAAACATTAACCCTGCTTCGCTATCTGTGAATTTGCCTTGCTTGCTGAATATTTCATGTTTAATTTGTAAGCAAATTGGGCTACCAACATCACAGTATCATCTCAGAGAGTGAAGACACAGGTAGGAGGCAGCCTTTTCACACTTGGTCCTCTTATTATCCAAGGCAGTGAAACTCTTCAAAAATAAAGATGCTTCCTGCATCATCTGTCTAAAACTAGCTGCAGTGACAAATATAAACAGTACCCTGTGGCAAAAAATTGGTGTTGCAGCACTAATTGGTGGCACAGCCTCAAGTCCAACAAGGCATAAGTTAGTCCTGTTAGCCTGTTCGGAATTTTCCCTCATTTCACTTGTTCCAAATTTGCAATATAGTTTAGCAATAATTACACAGGCATATAATTGATCAGGTATTGTGGCATTAATGCTGGTGCCAATCTAGCAAAAGTACTCACCTCCATATTAGATGATCATTGGGTTAAGTCTCCGTCCAAAGACTAGGCAGAAGTTCAGCTGCCAGCTCAGTGTAACACTGAGAGTGCTCCCGTTTGGTTAGGATCCCAGCTAATGGTCTTACTATACAAGTCATATCTCAAGGCAAGACGTGGCTGATGGACCACAAGTTTTACGTTGATATTAGTTTACCATGGTGGTCAGTCAGTGAACATACAAGAGGCTGCCAATGCATTTTTAAAAAAATAACTTCAAGGTTTATTACATACAAAAGGAAAACAAAAATAAAACTACATTACCCCATACAAGACCTATTTGAGACAATCTTATTACAGATAAGAAATAAGGATTCAACCCTTTTCGGGGCCTCTAGCAGAAATATTTGTACCATCTATAACCATGGGTAGGGTGCCAGAGGACTGAAGAGTGGCTAATGTTGTGCAATTATTAAAGAAAGGCAGTAAGGAAACGTTTGAGAACTACAGGCACCTGTGATTCTGACATCAGTGGTGGGTAAGATGTTGTAAATGATTCTAAATTATAGAATTTACACGCATTTGGAGAGGCAAGGAATGAATAGGGATAGTCAGCATGGTTTTGCACAAGGGAAATCGTGTCTCACAAACTTGATCGAGTTATTTGAAGTAACCAAAAAGATTAACGAGGGCAGAGAAGTAGACATTGTTTACTTGGGCTTTAGTAAAGCCTTTGATAAGATTCCGCATGGTAGGCTAATTAGTAAAGTTAGATCATATGGGATTTCAGGGGGAGCTTGCTAATTGGGTACAAAATTGGCTTTACCATAGGAGACAGAGGGTGGTGGCAGAGAGCTATTTTTCGGACTGAAGGCCTGTGACTAGCGGTGTTCCACAGAGATTGGTACTGGGTTCACTTTTGTTTGTCATTTATATAAATGATTTAGATGAGAATATAGGGGGCATGGTTAGTAAGTTTGTAACTGACACCAAAAGTTGTGGCATAGTAGACAGTGAAGAAGATTATCTAAGATTACAAAGAGATCTTGATCAATTGGGTCGATGGGCTGAGGATTTGCAGATGGAGTTAAATTTAGATAAATGAGAGGTATTGCATTTTACTAAAACAAACATGGACATGACTTATACAATTAATGGTAGGGCTCTGGGTAGTGTTGTAGAATAGAGAGATCTTGCGGCTCAGGTATATAATTCTTTGAAATTTGTGTCACAGGTAGACAGGAGGGTTAAAAGGCATTTAGCATGTTTGCCTTCATTGCTCAGACTTTTGAGTATAGGAGTTGGGACCTCGTGCTGAGGTTGTGCAGGACTTTGGTGAGGCCTCTTCTGGAGTACCGAGTGTAGTTCTGGTCGCCCTGTTATAGGAAGGATATTATATTGGAGAGGGTTGGGAAGAGATTTATCAGGATGGTGCCAGGAATGGAGGGTTTGTGAGTCATAAAAATCGACTAGGACTATATTCACTGGAGCATAGGAGGTTGAGGGGTGACCTTATTGAAATTTATAAAATCATGACAGGCGTAGATAAGGTGAATAGTAAAGGTCTTTGCCCCCAGGTGAGAGAGTTCAAAACTAAGGGGCATATTTTTAAGATGAGAGGAGAAAGATTTAAAGAAACAATGACAGATAATTTTTTTTTTTTTTTTTAAATGTGTGTAATGAACTGCCAGAGGAAATGGTGGATGCAGATATCGCTAGAAAGTTTAATAGACATATGGATAGGTATGTGATTAGAAAAGATTTGAAGGGATATGGGCCAACACAGGCAGACGGGACTAGTTTTGCTTGGGAACATGGTCGACGTGAACTGGTTGGACTGAAGAGTCTGTTTCCATGCTGTCTGACTCTAACCTTACAGATACACAAACTTTAATGAAAGGTCACCCCGTCTCCACTTTAAAGTTCCTGGTTCAGTTAACAGTATAATGGTTTCTGAAGGTTCCTGCTTACTGCGTTCGAAAACGTTTCAGAGCAAACATAGTCATGAACCTTTGTAACGCTGTTCCTCAAAACATGGTAGAAGAGTCTTTAGTAATTGTTAAGGTGGAAGTGGGATGTGAACATTTATTGGAGGTTGGCAGGACCATGGGGCAATCAGATCGGTCATGATCTTATTGAATGGTGGAGCAGGTTTGACAAGTTGAAGGGCCTTCGCCTAACTTATATGTTTCTATGTAAAATACTAAAATAGCTACTTTGCTTGCCGAAGGCCTAAAAATGTGCTGTATATTTACACAAGTCCTTTCATTCATTCTACTTGGAACTTTGACCAAATCTGTGACCTTCACCATCAAGAGGGACAACGCATTATAAGTGAGGGGACATAACTGCCTGCAATTTCGCAAACAATGTACCATTTGAATTTGAACCATATCACCAACCCTTCAATGTTACTGGATCAGAAAACCTGAATTCACTTCCTAACAGTACATCAGTTCAAGAAGGAACCCACCAGCACATTCTCAAGGACAGATGGACAATATTGTAACCTCATGCCCTTACATTTGATGTCAGTGCTAAATCTATTTTAGGTTACACATTTAGCACAGCCTGAAGCAAGATAACCTGGATGCAGCTCTTAAAATTTTTGCATAGTCTGGAAGTTGCTATCCAATTTACATCACAATAATGCTGTGTATTGGTAGCTAAGTATAATTCTCAAAAGCAAAAAGTAGACCATTGTACCTTTTCCTAACCTTTACAAAATATGTTGTTATAGTTATTTAACTCCATAAATCATTAAAAATTCTTGCTCTGGGACATAACTATAACATACTAACATTTCTTGAAGCTTGAGGTGCATACCTGGGAGGTTAGAAACAAATGTAGTTTGAAAAAGAATCTTGTTCGATTAATAGTTGATCAGAAGCTAATCTTGATGAAATAAGTAGAAAATCCATTAAAGTGAGTAATGTAATGCAATGCAATGGCACATCAGTGCAGTTACTTGTCGCACCATAAATCTGTAGGGTGTGTGCTTGCAGATAATATCAGTCATGATAAACTCTCAATCTAGGCTGGCTGACAGGATGAACTAGGTAAATGTTGGATATTTCACTGTTATGATTGGCGGGGTGGGGGAGGGGGGGCGTTGTAATTCAGAGAAACAGTCCTTCAATGGCACATTGATGCAAACCAACGTAGTAATGAGTAGTAGAGAAACAGGAATTCCACTGAATGTGCTGTTTGGACAAAATAAATAAAACCTTTTTTAAAAAAATATAGGTAAAGCAATACTACTTATTTGCCTCATGGTTTATGCAAGCACAATAGTCAATACAAACAGATGGGTGGGAATACTGGACTCATTAAAATGACTTAGCATGTTATCATCACAAAGTGGAAGCCACTGTCACCTCCACAGGAACCAAGACATTCGGAGGAAATGAGGTTCAGCGATTGGGAAGAATTAATTTGAAATCTCAATCAATATCAAGATGGTAATATGTTGCCACTAAAATTATTAATAAATTATATCATAAAGTATATTAACACATATACACAGGGGAGGTGACAGCCCAGTGGTATTATTGCTACACTGTTACTCCAAAGACCCAGGTAATGCTTGGGGTACCCGGGTTTGAATCCTGCCACAGCTAATGGTCAAATTTAAATTCAATACAAAATGTGGAGTTAAGACTCTGATGACATCCGTGATTCCACCCTTGTCGATTGTCAGAACAATCTATCTGGTTCATTAATGTCCTTTACGGAAGGAAAATGCCATCCTTACCTGGTTTGGCCTACATGTGACTCCAGACCCACAGGAACAGGGTTGACTCTTAACAATTAGGGATGGGCAATAAATATTGGCCTAGCCAACGACGCCCTCATCCCATGAATGAATAAAAAAATTGCATCAGAAAAGTTTATCCAGATACAAGCAATGATTAAACACAGTTGTAAAGACAAATAAATTGCTTTGATATGTAAACTGATTTGTTGAAACATAAATCCAAGGATTTTGCTGATACTCAATAAAGCATTCTAGAGAACATATGCCAACTGCTGCATACTGATGTGGTCACCAAATATGAGGTGTAGCAGCAGATAAAAGGATCCATCGAAAACAACCATTTTTATGCAACTGTATATTTTGTGTGTGTGTGAGAAAAACAGCAAAAGAAAATAAATCAGTTCTTTTGAAAAGAAATGTGATTAAAGTATTTTTAAATGTGATGCAATTAAATAAAGTAGATAATATAAGGAAGAATGCAACTTTACACCAAGCATTTATGGGCAAAGAAATTAAATAATTGACTAGATCAGACTGCCACCTAGAGCAGAAAGACAGACTTGATACAGAACTGCCTAAATTATTGAATCAGAGATAGTAGGAACTGCAGATGCTGGAGAATCTGAGACAACAAGGTGCAGGACTGGATGAACACAGCAGGCCAAGCAGCATCGTAGGAGCAGAAAGGCTGACGTTTCAGGCCTAGACCC